AACCCGAGTCCCACCAGTCAAGGGGCCTCAAGGTCTCCATGGGACTCCCTTGGCCCTCACACCTCAGGAGTCCCCTTGAAGACACCTAGCCTTGACCCTCAGTCACCTTTGCCACCTTTCCTCAAATGCGTCAAGATGCAGGGGAACTGAAACAAAACAGCTTACATTAGGTGGTCTGTCGTGGCCAGCAGAGAACCCCCCCATCCTGTCAATAGCCCCCGGACCTCCCCAACACACTCCAGTCCTTGCAGGGTCCCCACATCTTCCTGGTCTGGACACCCCGGCCAAGTGGAGAAGACAGAGCTTGGCTCTGGGCAGTGGTCTGGGCTGTGGCCCCCTGTCAGCGCCCTCTCTTTCCACAGGAGCTTTGGCCTTGCAGCTGGGAGACTCAGGGGACCATCCCAGCCTTGGAGGTGGAGCAGGGCCTGCAATCCTGTGCCAGCACCATGAGCTCCAACAGCTCCCCGGAGGAGAACCCTGAGGGAGATGCAGGGAGAACAGGGCGGAAGCCCACGGTGGGAGGAGGGGGAAGTCGAGCGAGGCTCCAAGCAGGATTTGTACGAAGGATGGAGAAGGGGTACTAGTGACAAGGAGCTGGTGTCTGCAGGGCCGCAGACTTGTGGCCTGCAACTCTGTGTGACCCTGGCTGTGAATGTGCATGCAATGGGGACAATTGGTCTTGTCTGGGACATGAGGGAGAAAAGGACATTGGAATCAAACTCTCTGTGTTGGGGAGAGCTAGGAAAACGCTGTGTTCTCTCAAACAGGACACAATCTGGGGAGGGAGGTAACGAACGTCTTTATCCTTGTTTCACAGAGACCACCCCAAGACCCCAGGCTATGTTCTGCTTGTTAGGATTACAAGGCAGAAGAAAAGGCCCCACTCGATGTTGTGATGTGTGCAGTAAATCACTAATGAACTATGTTATTTTCTCTAGGCTAAAGATGCTTTCAAAGACATTTCCATATACTTCTCCAAGGAAGAATGGGCAGAGATGGGAGAACTGGAGAAAATTCCCTATAGGAATGTGAAAAGGAACTATAATGTGCCGATTAATTTAGGTAACTGCAAGTGCTGGTTGCAGACCAGCCTGCGAAATATAACACAGGTCTTCTGTCCCCGTATTATTTTGGCTCTCTCTTAGGCAGGTGCATCTGCCGAGAGTTCCCTTCTGTATGGAGACAAATCTGGAGGGGAAATTTTGTTCTTCTTCTTTTTTTTGTTTTGTCAATGCACCTTCTTTTTTATTTTTTGTCAGTGCATGGCTGAGTGTCGGCACTAGTCATGCAGAGCTCACATCTTGACCTTGTTCAAGACTCTCCCGGCCCACGCTTAGCCACAGTGGCTTTGTGGTGCTTTCCATTGCCACCACCTTTTGTTCCTCCCCTCAAATTCTTCCCTTTTAGGACAAAGATTTGGCTTCTTTCCAGGTCTCAGAGCCCCTCGACCAGCTTTCATGTGTCACCGAAGGCTTGCCAAGCTCCATGTGGATGACACTGAGGATTCTGATGAAGAATGGACACCTAGGCAGAAAGGTGAGGGGCCAGGAGGAATCAGAGGTGACCTCCTGAAACCAGCCTGGGTTGACGTCTCAGCTTTATCTCAGGAGTTAACGAAGGAGACCATGTTCTCTCAAAAATGTAAATGTTCAACAAACAAGCAAGGTACAAAACAGT